CTGGGTCATATGGTTATCCTGTTTGACTTTTTGAGGAACTGCCAAACTGTTTTCCACAGCAGCTGCACCATTTGTATTCCGACTAGCAATGCACAAGGGTTTCAATTTCTCTATATCCCCTCCAACACTGTTATTTTCCTTATTTTTGATTATAGCCATCCCAGTGAGTGGGATTATAGCCAGCTCTGGTGGCCTAGTGGTTAAGATTTGGCACTCTCACTGCTGTGCCCCGTTTGGGTTTGTTTCCCAGTGAGGGGACTGCACCACCCATCTATTGGTTGTCATACTGTGGCAGCTGTGTGTTGCTGTGATGCTGAAAGCTATGCCACTGGTATTTCAAATACCAACAAGGTCACCCATGGTGGACAGGTTTCAGCAGAGCTTCCAGACTAAGACAGACTAGAAAGAAGGAACTGGCCACCCACTTCCTAAAAATTGGCCAGGAAAACCCTATGTATGGCAGACACAGCATTGTCTGATATAGCACTGAAAGGTGAGAGGATGGCACAAAAGACTGAGTAGTGTTCTGCTGTGCTATATACAGGGTCGCTAGGAGTGGGAATTGACTTGATGGCACTAACAAGCGGGTGTGACATGATATCTCTTTGTGGTTTTGATTTGCATTTGCCTAATGACTAATGATGTTGAGTATCTTTTCATATGTTTATTGGCTATTTGTATATCTTTGGAGAAATGTCTATTCAAGTCCTTTGCCCATTTTTAAATTGAGTTGTTTGTCTTTGTGTTGTTGAGTTGTAAGAGTTCTTTGTATATTCTGGATACTAGTACTAGACCCTTATCAGATGTATGACTTGCAAATATTTTCTCCCATTTCTTAGGTTGTCTTTTTACTTTATTGGTAATGTCCTTTGATGCATGAAATTTTTTAATTTTGATGAAGTCATATTTATTTTTCTTTTATTGCGCATACTTTTGGTGTCATAACTAAGAATCCATTGCTGAATCCAAGGTCATGAAGATTTATCCCTATGTCTTCTTCTAAGAGTTTTGTAGTTTTAGGTCTTATATTTAGGCTGCTGATCCATTTGAGTTAACTTTGTATGTGGTGAGAGGTACGGGTCCAACTTCATTCTTTTGAATGTGGCTATTCAGTTGTCCCAGCAGCAATTATTGAGGAGACTATTTTTTCCCCATTGAAGGGTCTTAGCATCCTTGTTGAAAATCACTTGGCCATAGACCTATGGATTTATTTCTTGATTCTCAATTCTATTCCATTGGTCTATGTCTATCATTATTCCAGTATCACATTGTTTTGACTACTGTATCTTTGTAATAAGTTCTGAAATCAAGAAGTATCAGTCCTCCAACTTTTTCTTCTTTTTCTAGGCCCCTTTGCAATTCTGTATCAATTTGAGGATCAGCTTTTCCGTTTCTGCAGAAAAGGCCATTGAAATTTTGATAAAGATTGCATTGAACCTGTAGATTGCTTTTTCTCTTGCAATTTGGATGCCTTTTATTTCTTTTTCTTGCCTAATTTCTCTGGCTAAAAATTACAGTACAATATGAAGACTGGTGGTGAAAGTGGGCATCCTTGTCATGTTCCTGGTCTTAGAGGGGAAACTTTCACCATTGAGTATCACATCAGCTGTGAGTTTTTCATAAATGTTATTCAGTAGCAGTAATTTAAGTTCTCTGAGCATGTTTTCTTGCCTGTCATTTGCTTTTTTTTTTTCTGGCAGATCCATTCCTTGACCTTTTCTAAAATCTCTGGAAGGGCTCAATTTCCTCCATGGTTTCAGCTGCAGTCAGGCAGCCTCCATAATGAGCAGTCCTGGCTCTTCCTAGGCCCGCTAACCCTAAGGACAGAAATAGATTCCTCCTTATGCTCCTCTTTGAGTTGTTTCCTCACCCCTGTTTGGCTTTTTTTGCTCTCCCATCACCCTACCTAGTAGTTTTTCTTATGAAATACCTTCTGTTGAACAATGGAGTACAGACTCTGTTTTCCTAACTGGGCCCTGACTGGGACACACAAAGTTAAGGGTACTTATTATTGTTATATCTCTATATAATAGATAATGGCCTGGCAGTCTATTCATCTTTCTTCATCTCCATGGGAATCATCCTAGTCCAGGCCACCAGCCTGCCTTACTCAGATTATGGTAATAATGTCCTACCAATTTGATATCCTTTTTTGCATCTCTCCAGTCTAGTCTTTACGCAGCGGCCAGAACAATTGTATTAGTTCAGAAGTATATGGATGCAGGTAACAAAAGCTGGTTTTCTAACTGACTTATAAAATAAGGAAATTTATAGTCTTACACAATATGCTCAGACTCTGGAGTTGGTAGATTTAGAAGCTCAGTGATGCAAGATCCAAGTTTCTTCCCAGTACTCTCTGTCATCTGCTTTGTCCTCAGGCTGATTTTCTTCAAGATGGCTGCCTGTAGTAACTGGGGCAACATTTTTTCTTATTCGCATACAATAAGATTCCAATATAAGAGACAGAGAGAAGGAGAGGAGGGAAATCTGTCTTTCTGACATGGAATGTAAATAATTTCCTTTACTCTGATTGGGTCAACTCAGTCCACAATTGGCTTCTCCATGCCCATTCCTCACATGAATCATAGTTGTTAGTGGAATGGCTTAGATTTGTCATAATATCCCTGTGGGTGGGAGAAGGAATAGATACCCAAACAAAGTCAGGTTTCTGTTAGGAATGAGGAAAGGGAAATGGGTCATGTTCTGTTATCTTTCTAAGAATTTAAATCAGATCATATCATTCTGGTGCCTAAAACCCTCCAATAGCATTCACTTGCTCTTAGAATCATATCAGAAAGTCTAGAAGGGCAAACAGTATCTCACCATCTATCTATACAGTCGAATCCCCTGTGAACTTCTGTCCCCATCTCCCCTCAATTGCTCCAGCTACAACAACTCTGAAAAAAGTTCCTTTCAGAGCTGTGTTTATTTACGCCATCTATAGACATATGTCCAGGAATCGTGCTTGGTGCTGGAGTTACATATGTAAGCCAGATGCCATGGTTTCTGATGGCCAAATTTGAACTCCTATATGTACGTCATTCAAGACACTTTCAATCCAGACCAAATTCATTTTTGTCACTTCTCTACCCCCTAGACTATAGTCACACATTTCTGGAAAATGCCGCATGTAGTCACACCTTTATCTCCTCCACCCACTTCTCTACTTGGAAAGTCTTATTCAGGTTGGAAGGCCCAGATCTGGTGCACTTTTTCTGCGAAACTTTCCCAAATCTATTAGAATGAATTGTTCCCTCTCTGGGGTGTCATAAAACTTGATCAAATGACTTGCATAGAAATTATCATTTTATTATAATAAATTGCTTCTTTAATCTGTCTGACCCAATACTTTATGCAATGATTTGAGGGCAGAGACCGTGTCTTTTTCATGCTTGCATCTCCAGGGCCTAAGCAGGGTACCTGGCACAACTCAGTAAAATTTTCAGCAAGTTATTTCATTGAATTACTTACAAAACAGAGATAAGAGATACCTTATCTAATTATATCACAAATAATACCATAGATGTGAAAGGTTTTGGAAAATAGAATTCTATCTAAGCATAAGGTGGTACTATACATTATTATATGTACACATTATAATTTTGTTCTGATTATCATTACATTGTTGATCTCATGTTTCCTGAAAAAGGTCCTACATTAGATACCGCTGTTGAGTGGTGGACACCTACTAATAAACTTTTGGATTGAATCCCATAGGAGGTTCAGAGTTGGCCTTAGACAAAATTGTCTTTAGGGGTTCCTGCTCCACTCTTTCCCAATTTTTACCTGCCTTTAATTTTGACCCTCTCATCAGGGGCCAAATGCATTTGTACAATTCCTCTTATTGTAGAGACAATAATATATTTTTATACTGACGTGGTAATATGTTCCTAAACAAGTTCTTAAGAAATTGAACTTTTTTTTTTTTTTTTTTTTTTTTTTTTTGAGGAGATCAGCCCTGTGCTAACATCTGCCAATCCTCCTCTTTTTTTGCTGAAGAAGACTGGCCCTGGGCTAACATCTGTGCCCATCTTCCTCCACTTTATATGGGAGGCCGCCACAGCATGGCTTGACAAGCGGTGCCTCGGTGCACGCCAGGGATGTGAACCGGCAAACCCCAGGCCTCCGCAGCGGAGCGCACGCACTTAACCGCTTGCACCACCAGGCCGGCCCTTGAACTGTTCTTTTATGAGACAGGGAAGGGAGCAATGATGAACCTAAGAAATTGATCACATTTAGATATTGTAGTATGATCATATAAGATGTAACCATTGGGGGAAATTGAGTGAAGCGTATACGGGTCCGCTCCGTACTATCTCTACAAATTCCTGTGACTCTACAACTATTGCAAAATAAAAAGTTTAAAAGAACCCAACCATAATGGTAGATTTGTATATGCCCTGAGCCCCAACGCTTTTGTATCTGGAGGGGCTTCAGCGGTCCCTTCATCACCCTCAAAGCAAATGCCTGAGGTCAGCAAAAGGGTAGAGGTGAGAGGAAGGCCGTGCGCAATGGGGCCTCCACGCGGGCGGAGCTTTCAAACTCCCAGAGCCACGGGCGCCTACTCTCGCCCTTCAGTCTGCTCCAAGCTCACCTCCCAGTGAAGACTGCGTGCGCCTTCCTGTCTAAGGGGAACCCTACCAGCCCCTTCCTGATCCCCACTTTCCTGCTTTGTTTTTCCACCTGCACTTACCACCTACAACTGACTATATTTTTTACTTCTTTATTTTAGTTTCTGTTTCTTCCTACTAGAATGTAAGTTCCGAGATGGCCAGGATTTTTTTTTTTAATTTATTGTTGTATCCTCATTGCCTAGAGCAGATCTTGGCACAGAGCACACGCTCAGCGAACATTTGTTCAATGAATGAATCTTTGTAGAAAATGAAAGCTTGAAAATAAGCTATTTCCCCGAGAGAGAAGTAATTCAAATCTGCCCATCCTTGTACTAGAGCAAACCTGACTTTGAAGCTAAGACCTTTTTCCTGTGTTCATACTTCAGAAAAAGAAGACACTACTGATAATATCTGAGAGGAAGGAAACAGTGCATGGTGCTGGGCCTCTGCATGTAACATTATAAAAATTGTCTTTTTTATAGACCAGCCCCCCAAACGGTTTCCAGAGATGGATTATCTTACTTTCCTCTTGGCTATTCTTCATGTATACAAAGGTAAAGATAATGTCTTCATTTAAAAAATTCACTCTTTTTTTGATCTTATAGTGTGAGGTGTTCAGAATTTCTAATGCTCTTTAGTTCGCTTAGATAATTTCTCACGTGTTCAGACAAACTGCAAGTTACAAGTACCAGATATCAACATTGGAAACCTTTTTAGACTAAGGTAGAAACTGTTAGCCTTTACAATGATCTCAATTTACTATCTTGCTAGGTCTTAGAAAGCTTAGAAAAGGTTAAGATATCTATTGGGTGTTTCAATCATCAAGTCTAATTGATTTAATGTGATGTTGTATATTTCAGCTCTATGTGAAGAGATGTTTTGGGACACAACTGTTAAACTTGCCAAGAATATGACTCTAGAATGTGTGTATCCATCAGCGGACACCTTAACCCAAATGGAGTGGTTCAAGATCAATGCAACAGAGAAAGAGTCCATAGTCATTTTTAACCCATATTATGGTGTGATGATAAGAAAGCCCTATGTCGATAGGGTGTACTTTTTCAATTCAACCATGACTCCTAATGATATGACCCTGTCCTTTCATAATGCCTCTGAAGCTGATGTTGGCTTCTATTCCTGCTTTCTTCATACTTTCCCACATGGACCTTGGGAAAAGGTGATACGGGTGGTTCCATCAGGTAAGTGAAAATTTTATTTACCTTTTTACCCATCTACAACATTTGATTCTATAAAGCCCAAGTAGAAACTATGAAATGCTTTATCATATTTTTATGGAGTTTTCCAATTCCATTTCTAGATGCTATGATATTATTGTTTCAAGGAAATAATTCTGTGAGTCAATTTCATTTTTCTTAATGTGCTGTCATTTCTGAGTAGAAGCATCTCCCACATTTGAATGCAGCGAGAGAAAGCACAGGTTTTCTATTCTCTTAATGATAACCTGAGCCTAGATTAAACTGATGTCAGCAACGTTTGGGTTCAGGAACCAGATATCTCCCTCTTAGTGCTTTATCCCAACGAGGTAGTACTATTTCCTTTCACTAGGCACTCAGTGCTAGCTTCAACCCCTGCATGTTCAGAATCTTTCTATAACACCAAATTTAGATTTATTAGTGAATCTTGGACAGAGTTCAAGCACTGGCTCTATTCTCTGCCTCACCCAAGTTTCACTGGAGAAGACTCTTTGGAAATTGCTAGCAGTCATTTCAGAAAGAATCAAATGATATCTTGAGGTATTTTCTGCTATGTCTACTGGTGATTGTAGTTTGGTGCTTGTGTGTTAGTCCTTAGAGTAACAGCCATGTGAATTGGGTATGGTATGTTGGAAAAACTTGGGTTTTCTAGCCTTCACTTCTTATGTAACCTTATGTGAGCTGCTTGGTCCCTCTGAATTTCAGGTTCCTGTATAGTAAATTGTGCTAATAATGCCATTCTCTTTGCCAAATGGTCTAGGATGATATATTTAAAGAACTTGGCCCATGGTGGTCAAGGAATAGTAGGTATTATTATTATCACTATTATTTCCTTTGCTTTTGATACAAAATGAATAATGATGAAATTTTCGGGTGTCAGCGACAGTCTAGGAAAGGAAATAATTTGGAACTGTGTGTTTCTTGTCTGGTGTCTCTCAAGTTATATTCCAAATGGACCTCCAGCAGAGCATATTATGTGACGTCTGATATAGTGTTTTCTTTTTAAGGGATCCATATTATAAAAGAACAGTTTACAGTATTGTGTAAGGAATATCAAATGGTCAGGAGGTAAGAAAAATTTCCATGTGTTAGTTTTCCCTTTCTCTTTGGGTGTAGGTAAGTTCAAGAATAATTTGGTGAATATGAGTGAGGCTTACGGAGTGCCATTTAGCAAAATCTTTTTAGTTAAATACGCATTTATTAAAGACTCCATTTTGCCATTCAAGCCGTGATTTGTTGTTGTGTGCAGTTACCTGTTAAATGCTGCTTGCAAGTTTTTAGTGTATAGTCCACTTTTGATTAGCCATGCAAGTAAAGGAGAGAATTGACAAGGGTCTTAAAGAGGAGTGAGCCATTTGACACATGGCCTGAGCCACCAAGGCTGGAACAAGATGGGCTTCCCTCCCTGCCTCGTGTGGCAAGCCTTTGCAGTTTGGGCCCCAGATTGGGGATTCCAATTTCTGTCAAAGAAAACCAATTGAAAACAGGTAGAATGCTGGTTACCAGGGGCAGGGAGGAAGGGAAAAAGGGAGATGTTGGTCAAAGATACAAAGTTGCAGTTATGTAGGATAAATCAGTCTAGAGATCTAATGTTCAGCATGAAGACCTTGTTAATAATACTGTGTTGAATACTGGAAATTTGCTAAGAGAGTAGATTTCAGGTGTTCTCGTCACACACACACACACACACACACACACAAATGGTATCTATGTGAGAAGAAGATGTGTTAATTAGCTTGACTGTAGCAATAATTTGTATATATAAATGAATAAATTATATTTATATATAATCATGTTGTATACCTTAAATATATACCTTTTTTTTTTTTTACTGGGAAAGATTCACCCTGAGCTGACATCTGTTGCCAATCTCTCTCTCTTTTTTTTCCCTTCCCTCCCCAAAGCCCCAGTACGTACTTGTATATTCTAGTTGTAGGTCCTTCTAGTTATTCTATGTGAGCTGCCACCACAGCATGGCTACTGAAAGACGAGTGGTGTGGTTCTGTGCCTGGGAACTGAACCCAGGCCGCCAAAGTGGAGCACACTGACCTTTAACTGCTAGACTGTCAGGGCTGGCTCTAAATATATACCATTTTTATTTAACAAAGAAAACAGGTAGCTGTACGTCTTCTGAAAGTTTGGGATAGAGGATGTATGTATTGGTTATCTTATTCTGGATAAATGATACTCTTTATGTAAAATTATATTAAAATGTATGTTAACTGTGCAATAGGCATTTCTCAATTAGTAACTGATTTAGAGAATTTAATGCAAAGAATGGCTGCATTTATCTTATGCTTCATGGGAAGATATGCAGAGGCGGCTTGGGAGGTAACATTGCAAAGGCAGCCCTTTAAGGCAGAGGTTGTGATGGAAGTGGGGTCATGGAGAGAGTTACCGTAACCCGTGTGTCTCTGGCCTTACTAGTCAGTTAAAGCAAATGTAGTCATATTTATGGAAATGCCCCCCAAAATTGGTGGCTCACCCCAAATACTCCACTACCTTTTATTGGGTGACTACTGTGTATGAAGTAGATGAAATGTCATCTCATTTAATGCTTATGAAACACCATGGGGGAGGTAACATGTTCCCATTATGCAGCTGAAGAAACTGAGATTAAGGGTCATTAACTAACTCAAGGTTGCTGAGCTGCCAAGTCGCAGCACCAAGAGGAAACCAGTTGACTTTCCTGAAGTGCCAGAAATGAGATGAAGGGGAGCTTGACTCCAGTAGAGTGAACAAGGAGGTTCAAGGAATCAGGTCATGTTGGACCTTAAAGACTTGGAAGGAGTTTTTTAAGATAGAGAGGCTAGAGTGAGGGAAGGAGAGAAAATGGAGAGAAAAGGGCATCTTGGGGGTACTGATGACATGAGAAAGGCACCGGGGAAAGTTTAGAATTCATGCAGGAGAGAGAGGATGGACCTGTTTGGCTAGAGCACAGAGCCTGAGTAGGATGTGGTTCTCACTTTGGGCTCTGAAGCCCTTCACTGCCACAGAGGTGGCCTGAGAGGAAGAAACTGTGAAGGTGGGACCCCCCTGCCCACACCAGCAAAGGGGCTCAACATATGATACGTTGGGGTCCCAGGTAAGGTTTTATACAGCAGATTCTATGTTTAAAAAATAAGTTGAAGCCCAGTGGGACAGCAGAATGTCAGAGAAGAGCCTGGAAATTTAGGATGGCCCAGATATCACTATGCTTTTTTTTTTTTTTTTGTCAGGAAGATCAGCCCTGAGCTAACATCCATGCTAATCCTCCTCTTTTTGCTGAGGAAGACCAGTCCTGAGCTAACATCCATTGCCAATCCTCCTCCTTTTTTTCTTCCCCAAAGCCCCAGCAGATAGCCGCATGTCATAGTTGCACATCCTTCCAGTTGCTGTATGTGGGACGCGGCCTCAGCATGGCGGGAGAAGCGGTGCGTCAGTGTGCGCCTGGGATCCGAACCCAGGCCGCCAGTAGCGGAGCGCACGCACTTAACTGCTAAGCCACGGGGCCGGCCCATCACTACGCTTAATGGAGTCTGAATTTCCCTCTGTAATGTAGACCGTGAGAAGTTGCTGAATGTTTTTCAGAGGGAGACACAACCCAGTTTTTTTTACCACCTAGAAGATTAAACTATTTGGAACCTTATAGGAGGGGAAGAGCTTAAGGGCGGGGTGAACAAAGAGTATTTTATGGATTGGAACACTTATCCACTGCTGATAAGAGTGTAAATTGGTATATCTATTGTATTATTGATATTGGTAATATTCAGGGTTCTCCAGAGAAACAGTCAATAGGACGTGTATGTATATAGAAGGAGATTTATTGTAAGGAATTGGCTTGTTAGATTATGGAGTCCAAATCTGCAGTGTGGGCCAGCAGATTGGAGAGCCAGGAGAGCCCATGGTGCAGACGAAGTGAGAAAGCAGTCTGCTTTAGAATTCCCTCTTGTCTCAGGAGGCCAGTCTTTTTGTTCTATTCAGACCTTCAACTGATTGGACAAGGCCCACTCACATTATGGAGGGCAATCTGCTTATTCAAAATTCACCTATTTAAGTGTTAATCTCATCTAAAAACACCCTCCAGATTAACACACAAAATTAACCATTACATCTCTTTTGGAAAGTGCTATGGCATTAGCTGTTACAGAACCCCATATCCTATAATGCTATAATTCCACTCTCTTATATATTCTAGAGATTGCCCACATGTAGGAGACAGACCTGAGAATGTTTACAGCAGCAGTGATAGTAATCGCAAAAAATTGGTAACAACCCAAATACCCATCAACAATAGAACGGACAAATGCATTGGGGTCTATTCCTACAGCAGGGTACTTCACGTGGCTAAAAATGAATGAATTATCACCACCTGCTCACCAACAGGAATGAATCTCAGGAACAACACATTGAAAGACAAAAGCAAGTTCAGAAAAACACATAAGGTATGATTCCTTTCCTTTAAAGTTTAGAAACATGCAAAACTAAACAATATGTTATTTATAAATATAAACATGTATGGTCAAAAAGCAAAGTTTTGAAGCATGGGCAGGAAGAGGATAGAATCAGGAAAGGACACAGGGGTCTTCGAAGTTCACAGTTGACATTTTTCTTATACGGATGTTTTATTTCCCAGTTGTATCAAAAATGTTTTACCAGATCTGGCTTGTATAAATGGTGTGCTGATTTGGGGGAACTGAATTCTCTTCTCCTTTAATTCACTCCTCAAATCTTTTTTGAGAACCTACTATATTGGAGATAACATTTGTGGTTTGGAAGATAGAAAGCCATGAATCTTAGCTGTCAATAGTATGCCGAGTATTAAGAGAGACAAAAGTTGTATATTGCAAATTACAATTTAAAGCAAAAAGTAAGTGTTATTTTAGTTTAGAGGATAGAATTTACCAGGAAATTCAGGATAGAGTCCCTGAAAAGGTGAAATTTGAAGTTAGCTATCAAGGAGGTAAATCAGAATATTTGAACATAGAGATGGATGGAGTAGCATT